GTGATGATCACAAGATTGTTGAGAAGGTTGGAGAAGAAGAACAAGTTGCTTACTTTGTTGAACAACAGTGGAGGAATCAGGTGAGACAAGTTACACGATGGACAAGGAGCCGGTCCAACAGAATGTTGGTACAGTGCGCCATGATGGTGCAGGCGATGAGCTTGAAAGGATGCACGGAACAAGAACTTGAAGAGAAGACTGACAATGAGAGTCGACAGCAGTTTTTCTTGACATTGCTTGTGTTGATGTTGGTGGCATTGTGCAATTGGATTTACAACAACTGGGGCACACTCGTTGCAAGATTCGGTCGACGAGGGCAGAAAAGAAGCAGGGGTTCAAGAGATGAAGAAGAACCCGAACCTGAGGCACACAGAAGAGTGGTGAGCAATGACAACATTGAGCCTGGAGCAAGCAGTTCGGATGCTCCTACAACATCTACAGGAAACATTGAGCCTCGTCCCCCATTGTTTCCACCGATGCCCGCAGAACCTCCTGAAAGATGGGCAGTTTGGTCACCAGAGTGGTTCACCTACTGGATGTTGGGTAGGGTAGAAAGGAGAATTGAACGAAGAGCTGGAAGGATGACAGAAGAAGAGAGAAAGAAATATGAGAAACGTCGAGAGATTCTAAGGTCAACGTTGATGATTTTGGAGCAACGACCAGGTGAGTTAGCAAGACTCAGAGCACATCGGTTTTGTCAGCAGATGGCAGATTTGTCCGTTGATGAGGAAAGTCCACAGGCACCCGAGGTACCAGAGTTGGATGAGCCGGGTGCCGAACCAACAGAGTTGATCGAGACCATGGTGAACAACATGGAGGAGGATGATGGCTATTTTAGCCAGAACAGAGTTCCAGGGAGAAGTTTGGAAGTTCCAAGCGAGGCGGCGAAGGCCATGCCAAGGCCTGATCGAGATGCAGAAGAAGGGGATGGAAGTGATATCCCTGATAGCGAGATACCCGTGTTGGCCGCTATCTCAATTCCACGTTGGATGAAGTTTCAGATCCAGAGATGTGGATGAATTTACACCACTATTCATCTGACTCGGAAGACAACAATGAACCGGAGCAGCCAAGCGGGTCAACAGGACATTGAGCAATGGTTGGATTTTACAGATTTCAAGTCTCAATTTCAAATTCCAATGCGTGTGGTGGTAGGTTTGCTGAAACCAGCTGAACCAGCAACCTACAATGTTTGCATGAAAGTGATTCCTGCAACAGCTGAACCAGGATCACTTATGGCACTACGATTGTTGACAGTTTTTGAACTGATGACAGGTCGAGAATCCACAAATGCTTTTGTCGGAATGGCATGAACTATGCCGGAACTTTACATACAGGGTATGTAGAAGAGGCCAAGCGGACTTCACCTTTACCACTTAGCAGAAAGTGGTGCTTGGTCAAATGTACAGAAAAGGAAGCAAACACATCCTAACTCGGTTGTGTTTGAGGCGGCGTGTAAAACTTTTTCTAGATTCCACATGTCCGCTTTGATGTGCAGTTTGTATAGGACACTTGATGTGTGTAGTATCTGTTCTTATCACTTCGTACCGAAGCGCGTCGGTCCAAAAGGAGAGCGAGCTACCTAACAAGGAAACAGTCCATTTTCCAAACCTTGAATTACATTTGACATCAATGGCATTGCAAAGGTGACGACAGTACTCAACTGGTAGCACTGCAGAATTGATGAGTGCTATTGGGGTTTGTTCCGAAGTAGATATATAGACATTCAACATTTTTCGATTCGAACCGCAATTTTTCCAACACATGGCAGCGACGCTCAAGAAATGTAGCCGCTTCAGTCTAAGGAAATTACAGCAGATGGCCTTGAATCATCCTTGCATTGTGGGTTTGGTTTGAACATAACATTTGTGCAAAAACTACTTGTACTGATAGTACGTGGAGTCTTGCAGCATACCGTGGCATGTTGCATCTTTGTCCGGCTTAGCAGCATTTTAGACGTTGCCCCCTTGCCTTGACGAGCATTGGTTCGCACAAGGTGATGCAAAGTTAGCAATCTGCCCAAAAAACATGTATGTATGTTTTTGTGATGGCGACGATTCTGCCAGGCCAACATGGGAGAGGAACGGCAAGATCCATCAGGGGGATTGATGTACAACCAGCTGCCGCCTTAGAAACTTACAAACAAATCTATGTTGTTAACACCGAGAAGCGCGTGTTGTGCTTCAGGTTTAGCCGCGTTCGTGCTCCGTCCTCAGATGTTAACAAACTTTGGAACGTCAGATGTTGTGCGGAGTTTTTCATAGCTTTGCCAGGTGGAGTTCACCTGGAAGGACCGCATCAGGAAGGAGAATGAATCGCGTCTCGCAGGAGCCGCGTCAAGGGCGGTTCCGGACTGACTGATGCGTCGAAAGTGGACTTGAATTGCAGTCTTTCCTCTAGCTAGACCACTTTTTTCTGTGAGAGGCCCAAAGTCTGGCTTTCAGATGAACTTGGCCCAACTCAGTGCCAGCGGCGGCTTCCTGCACTTGAAGCCTTTCCCTGAGTGTGGTGTTTCATTGTTGGAGCTATGCCACTCACGGCTTTCGCGTCGCAGCTCCGACGGAGTTCAGGGTCGATGAGTTGAGGCATGCTCACAATCGCCTTGAGACTGTGGTGGAGAAGGAGAGAAAAGTACATCGATACATGTTTCAAAAAGAGGAGAGCCACAACCAATGGGTTTTCAATGGCTTTCATCCACTTTTGCTGCCGCCAGGAAATTAAGCAGTCGCCTCAGCAGAGAATGTCAGCGGAGGGCATGGATCCAACCAGTATGGAGGCGCTCTCGAGGTGATGTGGCAATCAGAGCATCTCCGTGACAAGTCCTTGGTCGTTGGTGACGCAAATCCGATCCCACATCAAGCAACGATCAGCTTCGGTGTCCAGGTCCTGGCGATCAAACACATGAGCAGAAAACCGCAAGAGAAGTGCGCCGACCGATCTGGTGCTGTAATCACTATGAAAAACATACAGGTTCGAGGAAGAAGATCAAGACGTGTGTTGGCAAGGAACTTTGTCTGTCAAAGAGCACAGTTCTTTTGAGCAATTCTCGAGCCTCAGGTTTGACAATCCAATGACCACTGCTCAAGAACTAGGCCTGCTTGTTCTAAAGTCCGGGGAAGTGTTCCCACGTGCCGATGCGCAGATTCTGTACCCTTTCAGTTGTTCGCCTGGCTGGCTCAAAGCTTGTCATATTTGTTTGCATTTGTTCGGGCAAACAACAAAAAGTTGTTTCACAGCAAATCAGCCGCAACACTGAAATCGTATGAGGCCGAAAAACTTGCACTGGGTTTCTTCAAAACAGATTTAACGGATTACTTGCAATGGCCAGGGCACACGAGCTGTCTACAAGTGTAACAGGTGAAGGATATCCAGTTCGTCCAGTGGACAGGAGCGGATGTGGTTCGTTTTTGTAGATCCTGAACCAAGAGTTTCAACCCTGTTTTCAGCTCTGGGAAAGCATGCCACTGCACGAGTTGCGGTGAGTCAGGTGGTATTTACGTACAAGAGCCGACCTTCAACTTGATGGGAACTCATTTGGCGGCAACTTCCTGGACACCACAACGTTCCCTGGATTATATTTGGCTCTTGATTTGTACTGTACTTGTTTCTATTTGTCTAGTAGTCTTTGGGATTGCTTCTATTGGCTACACATTTGGCCCTTCAGCACCGTAAAACAGTTTTGAGCGATGTGTCAGGGACAATGACGGCCCAAAGCGAATTCTGCAAAGAGTGCAGTTCACCACTGCCGTCAACAAGGGTCAAAAGCCAGGCTGGCGGAAGCGAAAGGAAGGCAAGCTGGCCCAAGACATCTCAAGACCAAACTATGTTGACGTTTCTTTTTCCGCAGAAGGCAACAACAGTTTTCTTCTTTTTAAATCCTCCCGGCCCTGCAGATGCATTCGCTTCAATCAACCAGGGCCAGGGTTTTGCTGCAAAAGCACCCTTTGAGCAGTTGGCCGAGAAGCAACTCCGGCTGCCACGTGCAGATGAGATGATCCTTTGCTGCACCGTTGCTGTTCCAGCACTCCCATGATGATTCGTTGATTGAGTGACTCACTAACAGGTTGTGTGCATCAACGTTCGAGTGACCAAGGCGGCAAACGATGTATGGCCGAGCTCCTGTGACTCGTAGCATGGAAGAGCTTCCCCAGCTACCCAAGCTCTCCACGGAAGGAGTGGGTTTGCAACGAGGCCACTGTGTCTTTAAGTTGTCAACATCGACTTGCCATCTAAGAATAGCTCTTATGCTAGAACATACCTGAAAGGCTTGCCCATGCAACATCTACCCAGAGGTAAGAAGAAGCTGAAGTGTGGTCCTCAGTTGAAGCCATCCAATTTGGTGCGCTGTTCTGCTGATACGTGAGGTCAGTGTCAGCAGACACCAGATATGCAAAGCGCGGATTGGGACGCGGTGGTCCTCTCTTTTGGCCGGAGAATTCATTCTGCATGACAATGACAAATTTGTATGGTCTTTCGTAGGTAGGAAGGCGAGCTCCTGTACCGCCATATGCCACTTTCACCTTGTGCAGATTGGTCTTTTTATGCAGAGGAGAGAGGACACTACCCACACAACTTCAGACGTTCGGCAGGGCTCCGTTTCCGTGTGTATTGTAGGCAGCTGAATCTGCTATTTGGCAGAGCCAAGTTTTGCTCCCTGAAAGCCCACGCACCTAGTCGATAACAGTGAAGGTGCAAAAGGTGGCTTCCTTTGACGACTTCGTCTCTCATCACCTGCAGCATGCAAAGCATGTTCTGCAACTGGGACAGCCTCAGAAAAGTTCAACAACCCACATGTTCAAGCTTCGTTGTGCAAAATGTTGGATGTTTAGACCAACTCTGCCTGGTGCACACACGACCCATGAGAAACGGCGCTGTTTCGGTGTGCTTTGTACTGATACATTTGGCCTTTGTCATTCAGGCTGGCTGTTAGAGAGTCCTACTCATTCAAAGACGTGTCAAGCTAAGTCCATGCCGGTCAGGAAAAAGCTGCATGCGCTCGTTACACACAGTTGGCGCGCCCTTTGCCCTTTCAGATCACTTTTCTCCGAACTTTGCGAGTTCCAAGGATGCTTCCGCCGGCCACAGAGATGAGCCAGGGCCTCAAAAACAATGGGTGCTTGACTTTTTCCCTTCCGGCCCTTCCCTGGGTTTGTCAAGCTTGAAGGAATCGTGAGGACTTGAGGGAACCAGCGAGTTTGGTCTTGTCTACCCTGGAACGCTCGCGATCCGTCACTCTGAGGGCGGAGTGGCAGCCTGGGCGCCTTGAGTCGACTCCTCGGTCTGAAAAGTGTGGTTTGCTGCAAGTGTTTTTGGTCTCCGTCGTGCAGACGAGAAACAAAGCTTGCGGATCAAGTTCAAGTCATATCGGCTCCAAGTCAGAGATGCCAAACGTAAGCAGACTCATTTTGAATTGCAGTCAGCAGCCTAAGCAACATCTCAAAGTAGAATTCGATAGCTTTTGTTGGACTTTGGATCCTTGGCGGTTGCATTTTCCACATGGCGAGCCACCCTGGGAGGACTTCCAACCGAAATATGTTGACGCAAAGTGTAGTTGAGCTGGAAGAATTCAACCGGCCTGCAGGAAGTTGAGTGTGACCGAAAACCTCTTTGCTAGCGGCGCAGCGGTGGTTGGTGCTACCATACTGACACACCCAATCGACGTGGTCAAAGTTCAGCTTCAGATGGCAGAGAAAAGTTGTGCCAAAGCTGACTCATTCAGCGCAACGCGTTTTGTGAGTTTCTGGGCGAAATTCCAGCACCGACAAGGTGTCTCTGGGTTGGCCAAACTGTTGTTGAGGACGGCAAGCTTTGGAAATTCTTATCCCAAGACTGGAATGTATGTAGGCAATTGATGTCAACATATTTTCCAGGATTGTGCTCAGCACATTCAACAGTACGCAAGATTCCTGTCTGGCAGGTGTGGGCGCCTTGTTTTCTGGACTTCAAGCTGCTTCGCTCCGTGCTGCCACCTATGGCTCTGTGCGCATCGGCCTTTGCGAGCCTTTACAAGAGAAAGCAGGGCGCTCCGGTGGCGCACTGCTGGCTGGCGTCTTGGCCACGGTGGTCGGGAATCCTTTCGAGGCTGGGTTATGACGCTTATCGCTTGCTTAAGCGGCTCGAAGATGGACCGAAGCCAGCTTGCTTTGTGCGGCTGGTGTCCGTCCTGAGGTCTTGAAGGTGCGGCTCCAAGCGGAGCCAGGCCGAGGAGAGCTGCAAGTTCTTCGAGACATGTTGAAGACTGAGGGCTGCCTGGTTTTGGCCAGTGGCTTTGGCTGGGCTGCCACCCGCTCGTCCTTGCTCACCCTTAGCCAGGTTGTGCCCTATGTGACTTGATTGAGTTGATGCTTCTTGCAGAGTCAGGTTACAAGCAATTGATCGTTTTTCTGTCTAGCTGCCAACAGTGGAGCTGTGACACTTTATAACACTTTCTGGCCACTCCCTTTTCACATCAATGACCATGACAACATATGACAACCATGTCTAGTAGAAGCATGGCATGGCTATTGTGATGCTGAAAGCACTTTGCTCGTTTGTTGGTACAGACTTCCAGCTTTGACTTGGCTGCGATGATCCAAGCTATTCGCTGACTAGCCCTTTCTCCCCATCCAGGCACATGCCAAGACGGCGCTACAGCAATGGTGTGGATTTTCAGAAGGACAACACATGAGCCGCTCGAGTCGCTTCCGCTCGCAGCACTTTGTGCAATATGTATATATATATATATATATTATATACATCTTTAATTGGTGATCTTGCAGGAGGTGCTCTCCATGTTGCCGCAAGCTTGATGGCAGGATTAGTGACTACAACTGCAACTTTGCCCGAACTTTTATGTTGCGAAGTTTGTGACAGCTTCAAAGATGTTATCATGTTGAGGCACCCCACAGTTATTTTCATTCTAATGGGGGTTGTTTTTCGGGGGCCAGACCATGACCACAACCCCAACTCGGTCATGATACTTTTAGGAGCCCAGAGAGTCTTCAATTCTTTCTTGCTCTCGCCTTTCGGTGGTTTCGGTGGTTTGGCCACTGGCCTGGTCCCCCGGTTCAAGGTCACTGCACCCGTGGATGTTTTGAAGACGAAGGCAGGACCAAGCAGGACCAGGCAGACGGCACGGCAGACGGCTCCTGTGCAGGCAATGAGTTCAGCCGAATCGGATGTATCAGCAATGCTTCGAGCACATGGCCCTTTTGTCTTCTTCAAGGTGCCGTATGTGCAATCGCAGTTGCTAACGTACCGTGAACTCAAACTGCACACTTGACAGTCATTTGTGCTGAAGGGTTGGCTAGCCAACTACGTCCGCCTGGGTCCACAAACCCTTTTCATTTTTGCAGCTTGCCAGCATTTGAGATTGCATCGTTGCATCCTTGCCACACCATTTTCTTACAGGCTGGCTGGTACTGTTTACCCAAGACCTAAGGTCTTTTACGAGCAAGCTCGACATTTAGTGGAGTGCCGGATGCAGTTCCGCATGAGATTCGATGACAATGCTATGGCCCTTCCTGAGGGAAACCGACACAAGTGAGGTTGTTTTTCTCTGTTTCCTGAGGCTGCACAGCCAAAGGCTGTGCAGATAGTCTGCATTGTCGTTGCAAAATGCGAAAGGGATCCAAGAATGTGGCATGGGCTAGAATTGTCCAGCTTGGGCCGGGCACGTCTGTCTCCTTGAACCAAGTGTTGGATCTCATGCAGCGCACGACTGGGCACCTTTGCTTCGTTCGTTTTTGCGGATGTGTCTGGATCTTTGTAGAAGCCGAAGGTATAGGGAATCACACTTGGATGGCACTCGCAAAACACCTTTGAGCTGCCATCAATTTGTGATCTCTACTTTGGAAATGGCATCAACCACTTGAGGCTAGATCCTTCAAAAGGCTTCAACCACCGGCTGGATTTACATGCAAACATGTGTGCAGCAAAGAGGTTGATGGCATCTTTGATCATGGTGTGCCATCAAATTGTGATTCCCTATATGTATTGTATGTTGATGTTGTTATTTCAGTTTTCATTTGGATGGAAGGATGTCCTGAGTCTGAGTGGTTCAGCAACAGCTCAGTAATCGCGAAAAGGAGCTGTTCACATGTGGGCGACGGAATCCTCAAACTGCAGAGTCACAACACAGCACACTTTGATGGCATCCACGCTCTAACCATAGGTCTCTGGTAAGGTCTTAGCGGTACCCCATTTCCATCATTTGGTGCCAGAGGCGGGATGCCATCAAGCTGTGATTCCCTATACCTTCAGATATCATGATACCTGGATCCATCCGCCTGCCTCACATCGCAAGGTCCCCTGCCAGGCAGCCTGTATTGCACTACAAGAACAAGGAGCTTGTGACTTTTCAGTGGTCCACTTGCACTTCCTACTAGTAGCTTCTTGTTACTAGTAGCGATGGCCTCCACCTAGTAGCTTCTTGCAAACTAGTAATGCCAGGAGCTACTATATCCTGTAAACATATTATATAGTTCAATGTTGCTTTCAGACTTTCAGGACTCAGCCATATACACAGTTGTCTGTGGCACCCTTGGCAGAGCACATCATGTTAAGAGGCATCTGTGTTTTTTGTTCAGGTTACGACTCCCGCAAATGCACACTCCTCAGCAAGCAGATATACCAGAATGGACGAAAGCAAAACAGGTATTGGTGCTTTGTGGTGAATCCTAAAAAACCAACTACTTCAAGCCAGATAAGACATATACTTAGAACATATTTTTTGAACACACAATGTTCTAGCAGGATTTGAGAAGAGGAATGGATGATGATTCATTTTTCGTTTGTTGACCAAGGAATGGGTTCTGAAGCGCACTCTGTCAGCTCCTTCGATGCCAAAAGAGGTGGGGATTCTTGAAGCATCGGGGAGTCGAACCACACATCCCGTTTTGGAATGTGAGTTCTCTATCTATCTATCAATCTACAGTATCTATCTTCTACCTACCTATCTATCTATTTTCCCTTTCGTGAGCGATATCCAAGAAAAGAGTGTGAAGACAACCTTGTGACTGAGTTTTAGGACCCTTTGGTGATACTTCACAACCTGGCTGTTCATTGAAAAGGACCCGTTGCCCGATCTGAAGAAGCTGAACAATCCGAGATGGCGCAGGTGGGCGTCCACCTCACCGTTCAATGCATGCTTTTTCGGGTCGTTTCTCGTGTGGCCTATGTTCAACCCTAGCATGTCCCAGTCGATGTGTCTGAAACGTTCAAGCAAAACTCCATGACTACTTTGCTCGGGTAGTTCCCAGGCCGAAAAGCAGCTCAGATGTCTCACGTTATGCGGAAGCGCCGGGTGCATAGCTAAACGTGTGTGGTCAAGAAGCCTTGGTGCTGCGTGATTTTTTCTTTCATGGGCTTTGGAGGCTGTGAGACTCCAAATTGAAGGAGTTGTGTCCAAGACCACCGATTGCAGCATCCGAAATGGATAAATGCATAGTTCACGAGTGTACGCGAGACGCAATCAACGTGTCTGCTGAAGAGCAGAGACATGCTATGTTGCTCTAATTGACCAATCAGGTGGGTCATGTGTGGCAAAGTACAGATATCAGGAGCCTGAGTTTGCTATCAGTCTCGACAAACCTAACTGTTGTATACTGTTGTTGTGTCTTCTGTCCAAGGTTTTACAACCTGAATGGCTGCAGCCCATTTGCGCTGGCTGCCGGCAAATGAGACTCCTTTGGAAGGAGAAGGGACACTGGCTGACGCAGATGGTTCGGACCACCCTTCCAAGGGCTTGACACGTTCGGTCCAAGTTGACTCTTTCATGTCAACACGAGCTTTGTTGGTCGAGCTGCCAGCCTGCCAGCCTTCGAAACATGGCAAACGGGTGCCGTACGCACGCGTTGCCAGGGTTGTACTCGATGCAACTTTATGCAGGTGCCAATTCGGGCTTTGTCTCGGTAAAGATCCAGTGTTCACTCACCGTGTATGGTTGTCAACATTTTCAAGGCGCAAGTTTTCTTGGACTCAAAGCGTTCGACGGAGAAGGCACCCATCATGTGTAACAGCCAATTTAAGTGGCACATGGACGTAAAACGTCGTGGAAACACACTCCTGGAAGCAGGAGCTTGTGTGGAATGCCACAAAAACCTTTGCTGCGATCTGTCTGTTTTTCTCAGTAGCTAGACTACACTCCAAATTTCCAGCCCAACCAGCTGAAGACAGTCTGGTCTTGGACGTGTTTGGATGCGGTGGAACATGGCAAAGGTGTACCAAAAGCTGCTGTTCTTCTTTCGTGCTTTGTCTCTAGCCCATGCTTGGCAGATTCGGGTTTGCACGGTTTCGGTTTTTTGATCTATATACCATGAAACTTCTGAAGCCATGAGCAGCGTAATCGCCTTCCTGGCCTCCAAATTCCAGGCCAGGCAATGGGTTGGATTGCTGGTGTTGCGTCACTGCCTCTACACCAATCCTGCTGAGTACGCAAGAAGACCTTCGTTTGAACAGGGTCGCTTTGTTCGGACTTACTTGGGAAAACGTACGCACGGTCTGAATGCTCCAATGCCAAAGAAGTTCCTGGGTAAAGCGAGTGCAAAGGAGTCCAACCATGAAAAATCGCAAAGGGCCAAAGTAGTAAAGCGCCAAGTTTCAGCTTTCACAGAAAAGCGAAAGCTGCGCGACGGCCGACTCAAACAGACGCAAGAGCCAGAGTTGTTGTTCTAGCAACGAACGGGGCCCAGAAGGAAGTAAGTGGTAAACACAGCAGGTACGCCGGACTGATCAGGTCTGGTTCGCCACCAGTTGCAAGTGTCTTTGTTGGCAGGAGGTTTGCAATGGTGCTCCTGCCCCGGGCTGTAGAACTATAGACACAAGAAATAACATAAAAACAAGAAGGTCCCCTTTGGACCCAAGGGTTACACACAGAACAACGATGTTTCCTAGGGTCTTTTCAGCTTTTCATCTTCAGATGATGGCCCAAACTCATTGAGTACTAAGTCTCTTCAGTGCCTCAGGTTGTATTGGTTGGATTGTTTTGCAGTGTTTTTCGCCTGCTCCATCTCTGCGCGCCAGGGACGGCGTCGACCCAATGCACCTGAGCGTGGACACCTCGCTGGGTCTATCAGAGTCTGAGCCCGAACCGGATGAGACCGAGTGGAAACCGGTCCCTTGGCGACCAGTCAGCCTTTTTTAGTCAAAAAGACAAAAAAGGTGGTGTTCAGCGTTGTTTGTGATTTGTTTTCTTTTGCCTCATAGGCCAGGCAAGGCTTGCAGCTTGTAGACCTTTTGCTGCCTAAGTAAGTTTTATAGATCCAGTGCGCATATGTCCTTTTTGAGGCGCAATTCAACAGCACATTGGCTTCCAGCATCACCGAAGACATTTCAAGCCGCAGATCCAGTAAGACGCTGAAGGGCATTTTGGCCTTGGCGGAACAAGCCGCAGAAGCCTCCCATTCTGCTGCAATGAGCCTTGAGTCTGGTTTGCATGATACTCTCAACGAGATGAATTCGTTCTCGGGAATCGCACAAACGACCAGCGAGCACTGCTCCCGCGAGACGAAGCGGATTTCAGCCGATGTCCAGCAACGAGCACTAGCTCTGAAAGCTGATGACTTGTCTGACTCAGCAGAGTCTCGCATTTCGGATCGAAGCTTAGACAGATTGCTTACAAATTCTGATTTTGTTCCTGCTTCTCCCAAAGCAGTGAGGTCTCTGGGATTGATACCGGCCACAATGACTTGGATCCAAGACAGCTAGAAGCTCAGTTGAGGAGGCCTATGCCAATGTGAAGTTCATTCACCGAGGTGGCCTTGTATATGGTTGGAGCCTTCCATTTTGGATCCCTTAAAGAAGCTGCGAGTGGCTGACCTAGTGCTTGAACATGCATGAAGAATGTATAACGCAGTGACACTTCTGGTCTCGCATGCAAGTGTTCTGCAGTGTCTGCTTTGCTGCCTTTTGCCGCTTGAGGTATCTGGGGCGCAAGTTCCAGGGGGTGTGCACAAGGAAGTCCTGACGCAGCATGTCGCTCAGATCGATTGGTCTCGATCCGCACGCTGAGATGGATCGTGCAATGCATGGTGAACATTATATATATGTTTCAAAACCTAACAAAGGAACACAAAAGGAACTCAAACCCTTGTGGTGCTAGTCTCTATGAAGAGTCTCTTATGTGATTGGCATCTTTTTAAAAGCAGCGTGTTATCCAATGAACCGCCGCCTCGCCGGACCACTGGCTTCAGCCCTCGTGGTAGGCTGTGGGCCCGTTTCATCGCCATGGGCCAAGCCAGCAGCATCAAGGAAACATTTCACGGGTGGATTTGCGGCAGTGGTATTGAAGAGTTCTCTGGCTATGCTTTGTTTTGTAAGGGGAAATCAAAACCACAACACTCAAAATACACCAAAAAGCTCATCCCTGAATCTTTCCGGTATCTGTGAAATCTGCCTTTCAGAGTGAACACCTTCAGACCCCCAAGTCTCACAGATTTCACACCTGAAAGATTCAGCTCTCCAATTCGGGCCCCACCGGTGCAACTCCGGTGTGGTTGAGTCCTCTCGATTGGGGCTCCACCCGCCCGGGAGCTCCGAGCTTCGAGCGTCGCCCGCGAGGTCGGTTTCAACGCGTCGGCTGGTCTCCGCGGCTCCCAGCCGATCACGGCCCATGGAGCGAGCGAGTCTCAGGGCGACCTTCCGGCTGAGATGCGCGGAGCGCATCTCGCCCAGCGAGGTCAGCAAGGCACGTGTGTGCGGCACGTGTGTTTTTCGTCTGGTTCTGGTTTCTCCAGTCGAGTTTTCCAGCTTGGATTCCGTGACAGCCCTGGTTCCAGGACTGTCCAGTGAAACTTGTAGTTTTCGACTTTGACGAGACTCTAACACTGGCTACCTTCATGACCGGCAACTGCGAGTATGCAGATGATGAGGCGGGGTGCTGATAAAAGCATGTCTTTCAACTGGATAATACTGGATGCCCAGCAGCGTGTTCTCTTTCATTTACTGCCAGGAGAAAGATATTGCTAGAGTCATCAACTTCGAGTCACCATGGGTGGAAGGGTCCCGAATTGCCAAGCTTCAGCACATGCTCGCATCAATCAAAGAAGGTGCTGATGGTAGGCACAGGACTTTGACAGTACTGACCAACAATGGGAAGGGCGTCCAAGCAGTGATCAATATGCTCAAGATCGCTGGCCTTGACACCTACTTCAGTGCTGTCTGGACCATGCCATGGAGACAGTACATGCCAAATGGTGCATACAAGGACCAGTGCCTTGGATCTAAGTGTTCCCTTGACGTTCGTCGTCGGCCAGCATTTTCCATGGTCTTTTGGGCGATTGGTCTTTACCTAACTGCTCAGTGCCATGTCCTTCCGATTGTTTTGGATCGATTTCGACGACTGCAGCCAAGGAGTGGTCAATGGAAATTGTTCGACCCTCCCTCCGACAAAGTCCGAAATCACAAAGCAGACGTTTTGTCGCACGTGACGAAGAACCCCGAGGCGTGGTTTCCCCAGATAGGCAGCGAGGCGGCTTTCAAGGACCTTGCAAGCTTGTCAATGGGGAACATCGTGCTTGTGGATGACCAGAGGGCCAACTTTCAGAGCCAATACGGGGCTTCAGTGCTTCGCTACTGCAAAGTGGCTCGATACGATGCAGACTTGTGCCTAGGCTTCTGACGCGACTTTCTGTGGCTGGTTGAGGCATAAATTGGTGAATGCACATCGAGACTTTTGGCTCAACACTGTGAGGTATTATGACATGCGAATGGTGAAGAACATGGGGGGGCATCGGTGCCCACCATGATGCGGACTACGACACCTTAAAGCGCTTTGTGGAAGATCCATGGATGTGCAAGGAGACGATGCAGGCTCGAGGGTCCGGGAATAAACTTGTGAGAAGCATCAGTTGGCTTCTTGAGGTGGATTTGGTATCGTTTGCATGAGTAACATTTATTCAAGAGTTACCTTCTCTTCAAGACCACCGCATTCCGGCGGTGTACATGAAGGCGCAACCCACACCAGTGTCCTTTCCTGCACCCATACCCGTTCACCTTCATGTCCACCTTTCGTATGTGACCTTAAACTCGCTGCGGTGCATCAGCCAGGTGAGGTGTCAAGAGCGGGACTTTGCGGATTTTCAGCGACATCCGCCGGTGAAGTTAGTTGTCTTCGACTTTGATGAGACCTTGACCTTAGCGACATTCATGCCCCGAAGCAAGGCCATCACCACCAAGGTGGGTTGGAACCCAACAGAGGCCGGGGCTTTTCTGCTTTATTTCTGGCCCATTGAGACAACAACTTGACAGAGAGTTACAAAGTTTAGTCTATGACCAGATTTGCGTTTGAATATATTTTCATCAGCGTTCCGCGTGTGTGGTTTGGTTTCGGGTCATCATGTTTGTACCACCTGCGCGCTGCCTCAAATGGATCATCTGAAAATGGCCTTCGCTTCTAAAATAGCTGGGTTGGACGAGCACCAAGCTGTCACTTTGTCTTGGAAGCCTCGCTTCAGTTTCGTCTCCATTCATCCCCTCTGCCTGGCGCGGAGGCCGAGTTCAAGGACTGGAGCCAGGAAGACCTCGTGGCTCGGCCGGGCGTTCTTTTCGAAGGAAGCGCCCTCGAAGGAGGGTCGGGAAAGGGAAGGAGAGATAAGAAGGTGGGATGAAAGTAAAAGTATCTGGGAATTGCTTCAAGTGGATGGTACCATGATTTGAACCGGAACTTTCTAGGCACCAAAATCGACCAGAAGTGACGGACAGAGCCCTGTGAAACGCTCACACCTCTAGGTGAAGTACAACTTCGAGAGCCCGTGGGTGGATGGAAGCCGTGTCCAGAAGCTCCGGGCACTCTTCGAGGAAATCGCCAAAGAGAACACGTTGGCGATCCTCACCCAGAACAGGAGTGGAGTGGCGGCTAGGGTGAACAGATGATACACGTGATTCACCTTTTGTTTTCTTAGTCTTTTTTGCTCAGAAACAAGGATGCTACTAGGAACAAGTGCCTCGCTACTAGGAGCAAGTGCCTTACTAGTAATAACAAGAAGCTAGTAGAAACAGTTCTTTTTTGCTTAACTGTTCGCTGGGTGAACAGATGTGAACAGCTGACGGAGAGGTCAGTTGGGCATGACAAGGCAGACACCAGGGACGATGTTTCACCTGATTTTTCCTTCCTTTTGAGGTGGCTGTGCTGAATCTGCTGGCCTTGGCCAACCTGTTGGAACACTTCAGCACAATTTGGTGCATGTCTGCTCCACAAGGTGACTGCGATGGTGCCTTTTGGGAGAATGGCAGGTGGCATTTATTTAGAACTCCTTGCAACGAGGTTCATCAACACAAAGCAGATGTCTTGCCACTTGTCGTTTGTTGGTGGTTTCATGAATCCGACATGTCTGTCATCTCAACGTTGGGCGAAAGTAGTAGATGACATGTACCACCTTTGAGCTCATGTTGTAAGGCAGAGTGGGACTCAAAGGATTTTGTCTTTTTTTCCCCGGGGTTGGGGGGTTGGCCGCCAGGAGGAAGAGGAGGCTAGTAGCTCAAGCAAGCTACTACCTACTTGATGCAGGATAGCTGCGGGGGGGGAGCTTCCTTGAAGAACCGCTTGCTTGCACCAATCATTTGGTTCCTGGATTGCTAGGGCAGCTGATATAATCCCAATCAAGATATAGTTTCACAGGGGACTTCGCAGGAGAGTACGCTGAGGACCCACGTTGCAGGGCATCCACAGCGTTGGTTTCCTCAGCTCACGAGCGACAGCACCCTAGCAGCGAAGCTCAAGGATCTGAGGCTCGAGCATGTGGTTCTCGTGGACGACGAGCGAGCCAACTTCCGGAACGACAGCCCCTCGGGTGAACGCGCGAGCGGAAGGCTTGGACGAAAAGCTGAAGGAGCAGAAGAATGTTGAAGGACCGACATATGGAGAGTATGGAGGTTTATGGCATGAGTGAATGTTGTTACAGAAGAGGTTCCACTTTTGGAGGTGAAAGAGGAGAATCTGGGTTTATTCATAGACTCATAGAATATTATTGCCTGAAGTATTCCCATTGATGGCATGTCGAGATGACCTGAAAGAGAGACTGAACTTGACTCCATTCCATTCCAACACTCAACTCACCTCTTGTTCTGATTCGCAGCTCTCAGGTAGCATCAGTGCAGCAAAGGTCCTCAGGTATTGCAAGGTCTCACGCTACGACGAGACTTATCGTGATTGTGGGCTTTTGGATCAGATGGGCGGCCTCGGGGCGCGCAGCGACCATGACTACGAGGAGCTCAAGAGCTTCGTCAAGCAACCCTGGGAGTACCCCTACCCAAACCGCGATGAAGAAGAAAGGAACATGGGGAAGAAGAAGTCCCCAAGCAACGTGAGCTTCTCTCATGATGGACAGGCAGAAAGTGGCCATGCCAGGAGCTGGGGAAGAAGAAGAGATGTGGCACTTTCCAAATTTGGATTATAATGGGTTATATAAGCAATTAACCAGTTAACAGTTGAGCGAATATGTTTAGATTCTCTCGTTTCTTTTGAAGTCTTGCTTCTGCTCGCCCATGGCAGGATCGAACTGCACAGGATTGAGGATTCAGCTGAGCCAGAGAAGGCCCCGCGCCAGAGAATTGGCTTTTAGCACCGAGAAACGTCCGCGGGGTTTTTCCGGTCAGATGCCTCGGTCGGGCGATCGCTGGGTGTTTGGACTCCCAGCGTCACACTCAACTGAGGCGTTCGACCTCAAAGGCTTGACTTTTGGAGTTTTCACACCTGACATCACACCAATTTTAGCCAACCAACTCAATTCTAGGCACGGAGTAGACAAGACACGCAATGCTAAAGACGCCATACGAATCTTTTTGATTCAAACTGATACGGCTTGGTCAGCCCTACGCCTCCGTTTCAGTTTCAGTGTTTGTGGCTATCCACAAGTGCATGCTGATGGCCCGTCTCCAGCGACTGCTCAATTGCAGCATGCTCACTTCGAGACGCGAAAGAGCCTTCCAATCTTGCAGTGGACCTGGAAAACTGCACGAAGCTGCACCGCAGGGAATTGGACGAGCCTTTTGGACCTCCATCGATCCGTCTGCACACAGACCCAGCCAGGTCTGGGATCTTTGCCGTGAACATGAAGAGCTTCTACGGATGGCAGACGAGCAGGTGAACATCAGCGCTCTGTTGCTGCTGGATCTTTTTTCCAGCAGATGAGATAAGGGCGTCTCAGAACAGGGTTCTGTCAGATTGGTTTGCAGGTGATGCTTAAGTAGTAAAACTTGAAGTTCGCAAGCTGTGATGCTCTTGAGCTGAAAGTTGGGATGTAGCACACGACAATGCAGAGGACCCGGGCTTCCTGAAAGTCTTTGAGCATCGGGCTTCCTTGTGAAAAGTGATATCAATCACATCGCCTCATGTTCTCCACACATCAACGGGGGGCAGCGCAAAGTAGTAGGCTCCTTCTCAGGGTGCTGCGATCCGCGATGGAAAGCTCCGCCGCTCCCTCGTTGCCCAGGCCGATCGTCGCAGCGGGATGGAGATCGAGCGTCGCCTGCGACATGCCCACCACAGGTGTAGGTGAACATAAGAGACCCCACCAACTCTCTCTCTCTCTCTATATATATATAATACTCATAACATCTAATGCGATATGATATAGTTCTTTTGACAAAGGGAAAAAGTGATGAAAGTCCTGTCAGGTCTATTTTGTATGGCTTTGGCACCTTGTTGGTGCCCATCTTTGCGGAGCGTCAGGCATTCGGGCCAATCGCCGCGCAGGAGCGGGTTCAAGAATTGGGTCGAAAAGGAAATTGAGCCATTTGAAGTAGTTCTTTCACGAGCAAAATGGATTACCGGGGCGCTCACGCACTGTTCTGCTGGTTTGTTGAAGTTGCGCACTCTGTCCACAGGATGTGCTCTTGTCCCTGCTGATCATGACACTAATCTGCTCGGCTTCTGGGTACTTCTTGACAAGGTGGCGTGGTCGAGTCTAGATCACAGCATGATGGGTATTGCGAAACCTCAGCGACTCAGAGCGTCCTACTTTCTTGCCATGCATGCTTAACATGAAACTTGAGTCTTCCCAGATTCTTGCTTAAGATCTTGCTGACATGCCATCCTGATCAAAGTGACAAGAAGCTTCATGCTGCCAGGTCGGCTCCTTTGTTGCTGACCCGACTCTTGCTGAGACTTCGGCCTGGGCTCGAGCTGAGGGATGAAGTGTGGGAGGAGAAGCTGCAAGTCCTCCGCCGTTGTGAATTGATCCAAGTTTCTATGTTACTTTTTTTAATTCTTTTTGTGCAACATAGACGAGTTCTCACAATGGGATAGCACCATCCCTCCACATACCTCCCCCCAATCCCATCCCTTGACTCGCTCCCGTTGTGAATGGCTTTATGGCACTTCTTGGGGGCCGAAACTCCATAGCAAGAAGCTACTAGTAACAAGAGCATCGCTACTAGTAGCAAGGGCATGACTACTAGTAGCTAGAAGCCACTGGTAACAAGGGAGTTGGACCTTGCTCTTCCATGCTCTGCCCTGATCTCCCAAGCGTCGTGCTTCTGCCCTGCGCGTACCACGATGCGCAAGCTGCCCTGCGCCATGCTTGTTGCTGACGACCCGTTGGCAAAAGTTGCTGCAACCGCGCTTCGAAGTTGGGCAAAGAATCGAATATCATGGAGTATGGGCTACTACTTTCTCTTTTCTTTTGGCCCGCTCCTACCTAATTAAGTAGGCACCTAATTGATTAAGTAAGGGCGACGATATAGTTAGCTTCTAGCAACTGGACGCAGGATGGCTCGCACTGATGATTTGGTTCCTGGACTATTTTTGATATTTAGTGGAGTATGAAGGTTCGACACCTCACAGAGGGTAACCACAAGGCATTTGCAGGGGCGCTTCCCGGTCCTGCGATGCTGGGCAACAGACAGGCCCATTTCCTAGATTTTCCTAGCGTTTTTTGCCTTTAAGGTTCCCCCGTAGTCCTTGCAACACATTTATCCAAACTCGCAAGTGGCACGCGTTGACATCCACTATGAAAGGCAATGAACGCAAAGGAAGCACGCGCACTTCAGAAGCCACACACCCTTTTCTTTTTTGCCTCCCATCACACATCATCGAATTCACGTCCATGAAAACC